CTATGGCTACCGAAACATCGCATTTGAAGTAACCATATTCCCAAGTCTCTCTTTGGAACTCACTATGTTTTTTTCTTCTTTGTTTCTTGTATGTAGGTTATGAAGAACGGCCACATAGCAACTGTGACACTCTTCCAAACGAATTAGAGCGTCGCAAGAACCAATCACTCTCAAAACTCTCAAACTGTACAGGATTGATGTAAATACTGCCCATCGCTTCGTGTGAATACGAATAATACAAGAAAGATGTTCTTGATTTGGTGTTCTTGGTTAGCTACAAAGTTTCTTAAAAAAACTACCAGGAATCGAGAGCTCGATGGTTGGTCAGCTCTAAAGTAGAAAAGAGAAGAAAAAAAATTTACACTGGATCGTCCATTCCTTTTTTTCACAATGCCTCGTGACACCCCGCCGTTTGCAAGAGCACTGCTTTGATCTCTTCGGGGGCGATCTCGGCATCGCTACATTGCTGCTAAACAAGCCACCATTACCATTTGCACGAGAGGAAAAGAGAACAAAAAAAGAACTTATACCTCGGCACGAAAGACGTCGAGGACGAAGCCATTGAAGCAGCTGATAACAGCCTGCTGGACGTCCAGGCCAAGATCATCCAGAGCTCTCATCGTGGAGAGCAAAAGGCCTGGCGTTCTCGCGCAGAACATATGAATGTTAATTCCCTTGCCATCCCTTGTTCTCACCTCCACCTACAAAGACAAAGCCAAGGGGAATAAAAAAAACCATGAGAAAGGAACCACTTGGTCTTATACTACTATAGACTCCTACTATAGTACCTTTGCTGGCTGGAGATCTGTAGGAGGCCCGGGGAGCAACGGAAGCGGGGAGATGCTGGACGCCGGACATTCCTCCTTGACGCAAGGAGCGAAACTTTGGGGCGAAAGCAACGCTCCGGATTGCTGCTGTGGCGGAATTCCCATGCTCCCTCCATCTGCTGGGCCTTCCAGCTCGCTGTGGAGCTCGTTGATCCTCTGGAGGAGCTCCTTGAGATACTCGATCGCGTCACCCAGAATAGACGCTCTATCCATCTGACAAAATCAAACCAAGTTGAGAGTGAGTGAGAGCGAGAGGAGAAAAAGAGGTAAAGGCATGGAAAGAGGAGCGGGCGAGTGAATGCCAAGTTGCCCGAGTGGTTTGAAAGTACTCACCTTTGTAATTTTGGGGACCACCGAGCGAAGCATGTACAAGCGATCATTAAGCTTCTTCCGCCGTCGCCGCTCCGCCATGAGATTCTTGGCCGGAAGGCCCTTGCGATTCCCCCGGCCGGAAGGGCCCTTGTCCGCCACCTGGTGGCCGCCCATCGCCTCGTCATTCTCGCACAGAAGCCCGGATCCATCGTCCATCTCCTCGTCCTCGCGGAGCTCCAGATCGACGGTGGCCATGTCGTCGGACGCCGACATCACCGGGCTCCTCTTATGGACCAGCGGCTTCTTGCTCGGGCTGCTCGGCGGCGGCGGCGCTGGATGATGGAGAGAATCGTCGCCCATCTCGAGGGAAGAATCCGGCGGCGCTTTGATCGCCCCTACGGCTGCTGCTATGGATGGAGATGTTTGCCCGCTCCCTGTATGCTGCTGCTGCTCGTGATGGTGATGGTTGTTCTTCCCGGACTTGGGCTTGGTCACCACCGAGGAGTGATCCTTGAATTCTCCTCCACTGCCACCTCCAAAGCAGTCGCCAAAAATGCCATTGCCGCTCTTGATCATCCCAATGCTGAGGCTGCTCCCAATTCCACTGAAATTCCCAAAGCTCGCGCCAGTGCTGGGGCCGAAGAGAGCTGGGAAGTCGAGGATCTGGCTGCCCGCCATGTCGGGCAGGAAGCCCGAGTGGAGATTGGCCACCGAGGACGAGGAAGAACACGCCGAGGAGGAAGCGCTGGCGTGGTGGTGGAAGCCGTTCCGGATGGGAGGCGGCGGTGGCAGCAATCCGGGCGAGAAATCGGTGATGAAGCAGCCGCTGGGCATGGAGGATTCGTCCAGGAAGGCGGACAAGCCGGTGGACCTGGCGTCGGATTTGCTGGCGGAGTGTGAGGCGGCGGCGGCGGCGGCCATGAAGTGGTGGTGCGAGGGCTGCGCTCCTCCTCCAGCGGCGCTAGGGTAAGAAGGCATGTCATCGATGAGCGAGCCATCGTACCAATCCTCCTCAAACGAGCCGTGGAGTGCCTGATCGACCACCATAGCCTGCGCGGCAAGGGAAATTTCTCATCCAGGCGATCGATCACGCGGAGATCCAAGAAAGAATACCTTGTGCTGTGGCTGATGCTGCTGCTGCTGCTGCCGATCGTCCCCTATCGGCACCGTCCTGCGAAATTTCGAATCAAACAGTGAAAATTTCGGGAGAATCGCGGCAAGAACAGCACCTCATCTCCGATCCCTCGCCCCAGATTCCCTCCCTGCACAAGACGCTCGCGTCCGACGCCATGGAATGAGAGCGCGCGCGCGCCGCGATGGTCGATCACCTCCCGGATTCCGGCATCACGAATGGCGCATTCCCGTCCCTGCGATCGCGATCATCTTTGTAGATTCGCCAGCGCCAAATTCTTTCTTGGCGGGGCGGCGTTGCCAGGCACCGCCCAACACGAAACACAAGGAAGCAAATCAAAGAAAAGGAAAAATTCACCGCACTTGAAATTCTTACCATGCGAGCTCCGTTTGTGTGACGGAACCGTCAGCCAAACGAAAAAGCGCGCGCTCCGTCCGGGCGACTGACGCCGCTAGACCGTCGGGCGTCAGCCACGTCGGCGTGTACGGCGCCCGTGCCGTCGGATCTTACCGCATCGCACGGCTCCTGCAGCGCCACGGCGGTCCTCGGCATTGAATGCCGCGAATGCGACGGGTTTGAAGAACACACCAACCCGTTCGTACCATCGTCTAGATCATGTATCGTACGGACGATGATCAATCCTATTAGGAGAACTTGCAATGAACAAGAAAAAAAGGGGAGAACGAGGAACGATAGCTGCCGTGCTAGTCCCAAAGAGGAACGTCAACTTCATTAGGTCTTAATAGGTGGTGGGGCAAGATTCTGGAAAAAGGGAATCTTTACATACAGGGGCTTCTTCGATTTGATCAGTGCACCGCCTTCTCAAAAGCAGACGTATGCAAGCCCATGAAACAATTAGGTTGGAAAAGTTGGCGCAGTGGAATTCTCTGATTGCTTGGAATGGAATGGAAAGAAGATTGATGGACTGGTTGATTGATTGATTGATTGATTGCGTCCAAGCGTGTGGAACAACCAGACAACGTCATCCATGTGAGAGAAGCTTTCGCGCACAGCTTTGCGGGGGGGAATTTTTGCAGCATCTCTTTTGTTCTTCGTTTTATCTTCCCTGCGGCTATCAAAGAAAAAAACAAAAGCAACGCCGCGACACAGGAAGGAGGATCAGAAGAAGCAAGAGGAAACAAACATATATACTTCTCTTTTGTGCTTACGAGCAAGACGTTATAAGTCGCGTCCTAATGCGACACTGGATCGATCGCTGCTGCGGCTGTGCTGTGCTTGAATGGAGCGAAGGATGAGGATCTATCTCTGTCGAGCGAAACTGACGTTCGCCCATCATCTCACTCTGGTGTTTTGCTCAAGTAATCTCGGATAAAAGTCGTTCTCCCTGACACACAAAACACGCAGAGTATAAACTTTTCAAGTGTACAAGCAAGAACCTGTTCCCGGTTCTTCGAGCTTTGTCGTGTGCTTCATAAATGTAACCAATCGCTGGCTTCCCAAATTCGCCTCCTATTCAGGTCAGCCACATCAATCAGATAAACTCACTCGGAGTTTTCTAAAGAGAAAACAGAAGCTTGTTTTCTCGAATAAATCTCTTACCAAACAACACGCTCGCCAGTGTGGTCACCACACTCACATGCAAAAATCCGAGAGAGTGCACAAGAGAATCTAGCAAGGTGGTGGAGCTGCACAGACAAACGAAATCAGAGATTTATAAGTTTTCCTCGTCTCGAGATGAGTAAAAAATTGGCTGGAAAGCGAGAGACGGGAGAAAAGGGAAGAAAACAAACAAAGCAACCAACCTGGATGGACGAGGAATTGGGAAACAACGCCGTACAGGAAAATTGGCGATTCTTGAGGTGCCTCCTGAGATAGATCTGGATGGCGTTTCTTTAGCTCAAGACGCACGAAGCTTCTCTTTTCGGTGACCACTCGGGAACACCTACGAGTATTAGATCTGCAGAAAAGAAAGAGAGAAAAGATAAAAGCCAAACAACAAACAAAAGAGAAAGCCAGCCTTGCTACCTTTGTCCTTTTTTTCCAGCTGTTGGAATTTCATCCTTGTTGATGAGTTCGGTTCCTTTGCACCAAATGCCGCGAGGGGAGGTATGAATTTCCTGCACATTCAATTCCCAAGAGCTTTTAAGATCCTTTCTTTCCTTTCCCTCGCGAGCGAAATGAAGAACTTGCCGTTGAAGTGGAGTCGAGTGTGTCAAAACTTTAAAACCAATGAATGTCAAACCCTGTGGACAAATCTTGCGTGTTCTGGAGCTTCGAAGCTGGGAGAGGAAGCATTATTCATGCGTGATGGCTGGCTGGCACACGCCTGTTGACAAAATCTACACTGATTTGTGAAGAATCTGGGGCAAAAGCAAAATTACCTGGCTGTTCTTGAGCGACAATTTAAGTCACAAATCTCTTTCCAAGTTGTGACCTCTCCAAAGACTTCCATTAGTTTTTGATTTCCTAATTTTTTCTTCCTCCTCTTTTCGCTGCGTATTTCCTGCACAGCAGCAGCAGCAGCAGCAGCAGCATCTTCGGTTCTAACAGAATGAAACGGAAATGCTTAAAACAAGTCACCTCTGTTGGCGACAAGGACGACGCTCTCTCTCTTTGCGTTTGCGAACGAGAGACTAATGTTCTTCCCGCAAGCGCAGATGTTAAAAATCGCGTTCGTCCCAAGTTTTAATGTCCTATGCACATGCCAGGAATTGAAATAAAAACTCGCGACAGCGACGCGTCTGGATCCAGCAGCGCAGCGAGCAAGCAGAGCGGCAAAAGGAATGTCAACCTCGGGAGCTATCGGATCAAGATGATCCTCCCGGAAACATCAGCGTCAAGAGAAAAGAAAAAGAGGCACACAAACAACAAAACCATCGGTCGCAAGCCAGGCGACGCGGCAGCGCCAATGCAGCGCCGCAACAGTAATCTAATCCACCCCCGAATCTAAAATTCAATGCTTACCGGAGCCCTACTACCGCCCGCGCCCATCGCCATCGCCATCGCCATCGCCATCGCCATTGCCCCCAAAACCCTAGAACAGGGTGTTAGGGCTTTAGTTTTAAATTTGGAATATTCACCACTACTTGGCGCGCGATTTTCGGATGCATTGAACTTGGATTCCCAGCATAAAGAAATCCAGCCCTGTTTATACATTTTTCTCTTTGTAGCAGAGTCTTTTGTAGGGAGCACCAGCTTTACTCCTTGCATTGTGGAATTCACCAAAAAGTATAAAATAAACAGCCAAATTATAAAATAAAACTCTAAAAAATAAACCAAGAGAAAATTTCAGATGCGTTTCATAAGGCGCCTCCCAAATTCGCGGCCTGGCACCAAATTTCTTTAAATCCGCTGCCCGATTGATTGATTCCCATGGGTTTAGCTTCGGACAGCTCAAAGACACAAGCCTTTCTATTTTTATCTCCCCGCAAACTAAAGAATCACTAAAATCAAGCCACAAGCCACGACTGGGTCTCGGCACCGCCCTCCACGGCCATTAAGGTCTCTTTCCTAAAACCATGAAAATCTCTCGATCGAATCCATATCGAATTGTGTGTTTGGAATAAACTGGAGGCACAAGCGGCCAGCGAGCAGACACCAAATGCCACATCCAAAAATTCCACACCACCCCACCAACAAGCAAGGCGCCGAGTTGACACGAGTACGGCACTAGACAATCCCCGTACGGACGCCTTTGACTGGCCAGTCTCTGCAATTAGAAAGAAAGAGAAATGGGAAAAGCTTGAAATGAGGCAGAGATTTAAAGACAAAGAAAAGAAATCCTGGCCGCTGTCCCCAGCCTTGTCGTTCGTGCTCTTGTTGTTGCCACTGTTGCTTGTGGCGAGGCATGGCACAGAGAACACAGTGGCCCCACATTTTATGATAGACAAAGAAAAAACATCGAGTTTTGGGCATATAAAGGGCTGCGGGGAATCAATCGGGATAGATAGATTCGCTGGAGATTCGGCTGCTTGAATGAGGACACTAGCAAGCAAGGCGGGAGCAAATTGCCAAGGGGAAGACGAGACATTCAGCCAGTCGAATCAAGCGGAATCGGTATTATATCTCCGGCCGTTACATACTTTTGGAGAGAAGAAGGTGGCGGACATTGAGTGATTGATTGAGAGTCCAAGCTCGCCAACCAAAACGGTTGTTCCTGGAAAGGGGAATCTAACTTACCCCGGTCTCCAGGTCTTGGTCTCTTTTAGGTCAAGTCGTTCTTGTTAGGGTTCTTACGGTAAGGAAAAAATGAGCTTTGACCTTTTGCAAAACCCTAAAAAAAAGCTGTCCGGCCAGCACTCACATGCCACTGCCAAATGCCACAGATGTTACTCCAGACAGCCAGTCAAGAAAGCGACACACATTAGCTTACCATTGGCTACCCAGTAGCACACAACAGCTATAACAAAAATCAAATAAGAATTTCTACGAAACTATTTCTAGACGTACAGTGTATAGCTACGAAATACGTAAACTGCAGAGCGGGGATATTCTCTTACAGATTCCTACGCCACCTATCTAGCCCTAACTTCGACGTAACGCTCATATACTCTAGTTTTTCTTGCATTGCGCCTTGTGGCCCCGCATTATTGAACGGAGCAGAATTTAGTGGATCTTCCAATGTGACTGAAGTTTCCA